ATGACCTTGACCTTTGGTCAGTTGACTCCTTGTTTAATTCTGATCAACTTTGCTTCATCATGTCATAACAAAATGTTCATCAGTGAAAAGATGCAAAATTTAACCTTAACCCCTGACCCGATGTCCTTGACCTTTGATCNTCAGTTGACTCCTTGTTTAATTCTGATCAACTTTGCTTCATAATGTCATAACAAAATGTTCATCAGTGAAAAGATGCAAAATTTAACCTTGACCCCTGACCCGATGACCTTGACCTTTGGTCAGTTGACTCTTTGTTTAATTCTGATCAACTTTGCTTCATAATGTCATAACAAAATGTTCATCAGTGAAAAGATGTAAAATTTGACCTTGACCTTTGAATCTAATGACCTTAACATTTGACCTTGACTTTGTACCTTAATGTGTATTTTTGTGAACTGAACATCTTGACCAAGTTTCATGTACATCGGTCAATAAATACCAAAGTTATCAGCCAGGAACAAAATTTGTGGACGGACAGACAGACAGACAGTGATTACTATAGGGCACCTGTATCTCCGATACAGGGCTCTAATAAAATCATGGTCTTCACAATTATATTGTTTGATTTTTTCTTTCATTGGGTGTATATTTTGAGTTTTTGGGGGTTTGGATGGTTTTTCTATAAGGGTCGTGAGGACCAATTGATTAATGGTAGGAGAATCTACTGATTTCCACCCAATACTTATTTATGGCAAATGTTTCAGAGAGAGATACTGATTGGAATATATTTACATTCCAAGTGAGATTTACCCATTTGCCTCAGTTCCTGCGCGAGCTGCCGAGGAGGGATGGAGGGAAAGGAAAGTGGTGGGATACTTCATCGTACTTGGAGGGACAATGACTGGACAATGGGAAATTAAAAAAAAATAAAAAATGTATAGAATGACATGACGTAATTATAGGGGTACAATCTCACTTGGTTACGAGATACTGATTGGAATATATTTATAGTTAGGGTCACTACAGATAACTTTGAATGCAGACTATGATCCATATGATCACCTTCGACCTACCCTCCAGTTGACTCTATCTCCATTGACTTCTGAGAGGATGAAGTTGACATCGTAATTTAGATAAACATGTCCCTCCTTGATGGCCTTTAGGGGAGCTGGACCACATCGCATCACACCTTGGAAACAGAACATGTATCATGTAGACACATAAACAAGCTGTGAGATCTAACTGATTAACCATGGCTGTTGAACAATATCATTTATTGTATTGGATCTGGTAACAAGTGTGATGTTTCTATTTTGGTTCGTCACTCTGTTTCAGAGAATCCTAATTTGTGATGTATTTACTAGTCTACAGATGCCAATATATATATTTATAGGTTACTACTTGGTAACTCTCAGACAAACAGTTATGCTTAATACACAATGATAATAATTAATTTACATATATATTATGCCTCATTCTTATTAAACTCAATGCCGGCGACAGGTCGCCAGTCTATCTGCCCACTGACTATATACCCGAGGTCGCCGGTCTATCTACCCACTGACTATATATCCGAGGTCGCCAGTCTATCTGACCACTGATTATATACCCGAGGTCGCCGGTCTATCTGACCACTGACTATATACCCAAGGTCGCCGGTATATCTGACCACTGATTATATACCCAAAGTCGCCAGTCTATCTGACCACTGATTATTTACCCAAGGTTGCCGGTGGTTCAAATAATAAGTACCTTCACTGAGCTCTTGTGGGGTGGCATCATGTGCTTGCCATCCATCATAGCCATCTGGAAGATCACGGCGCTGCATCCAAGACTCATTCCACACGTGGAAATTCCTATAATAAATAAAAGAGATTAACAGTTGTTGAACTAGTAGTAGTGTAATTTAATGGTTGATGAAGTAACAGTTAATTAATAATTGAACAAGTAACAGATAAGTCAAGTTAACATGCAGTATTGTATTGACAATTATATTTATTGTCAATGAAAATGTCTTCAAAAATAATGCATTGTTGAACTTTTAGCATTTATTAATTGCTTCCATACTGAACAATGTTTATTTTGTTTTATTATTATTTCTTGACATATTCACCATGTGTGTTTCTTTATAACTATAATGTCACAAATGGAGTAGGAAGGAAAATGAAGAAAGAGAGAAAAAAGACAAATGGAAGGAACAAAATTAAACACGGAGATAATACTTATAATGACACTGTGTCACCATTAAACATTGAGATTATAATTGGAGTGACACTGTGTCACCATTTAACACCTGGATAATACTTGTAGTGACACTGTGTCACCATTAAACACCGAGATAATAATTGTAGTGACACTGTGTCACCATTAAACACTGTGTCATCATTTAACACTGAGATAATACTTGTAATGACACTGCGTCACCATTAAACACTGAGATAATACTTGTAATGACACTGTGTCACCATTAAACACTGTGTCACCATTAAACACTGTGTCACCATTTAACACTGAGATAATACTTGTAATGACACTGTGTCACCATTAAACACTTGAGATAATACTTGTAATAACACTGTGTCACCATTAAACACTGAGATAATACTTGTAGTGACAGTGTCACCATTAAAAACTGTGTCAGCATTAAACACTGAGATAATACTTGAAGTGACACTGTGTCATCAATAAAAACTGTCAAAATTAAACACTGTGTCACCATTAAACACTGAGATAATACTTGTAGTGACACTGTGTCACCATTTAACACTGTGTCACCATTTAACACTGAGATAATACTTGTAATGACACTGTGTCACCATTAAAAACTGAGATAATACTTGTAATGACAGTGTCACCATTAAACACTATGTCACCATTTAACACTGTGTCACCATTAAACACTGAGATAATATTTTAATGACGCTGTGTCACCATTAAACACTGAGATAATACTTGTAATGCTACTGTGTCACCATTAAACACTGAGATAATACTTGTAATGCTACTGTGTCACCATTAAACACTGGGTTAATACTTGTAGTGACACTGTATATCCATTAAACACTGAGATAGTACTTGTTGTGACACTGTGTCACCATTAAACACTGAGATAATACTTGTAGTGACACTGTGTCACTATTTAACACTGTGTCACTATTAAACACTGAGATAATACTTGTAATGATGCTGTGTCGCCATTAAACACTGTGTCACCATTAAACACTGAGATAATACTTGTAGTGACACTATGTCACCATTATACACTGTCACCATTAAACTCCGTGTCACCATTAAACACTGAGATAATACTTGCAGTGACACTGCGTCACCATTAAACACAGATAATACTTGTAATGACACTGTGTCACCATTAAACACAGATAATACTTGTAATGACACTGTGTCACTATTAAACACTGTGTCACCATTAAACACTGAGATAATACTTGCAGTGACACTGCATCACCATTAAACAGATATTACTTGTAATGACACTGTGTCACCATTATACACTGCCACCATTAAACACTAAGTCACCAATAAATACTGAGATAATACTTTTAGTGACACTGTATCACCATTAATCACTGTGTCACCATTAAACATTGAGATAATACTTGCATATATGACACTGTGTCACCATTAAAAACACTGAGATAAAACTTGTAGTGACACCGTGTCACCATTAAACACTGAGTCACCATTAAACACTGAGATAAAACTTGTAGTGACGCTGTGTCACCATTATGGAGTGACACTGTGTCACCATTTAACACTGAGATAATACTTGTAGTGACACTGTGTGACCATTAAACACTAAGATAATACTTGTAGTGACTCTGTGTCACCATTATACACTGCCACCATTAAACCCTAAGTCACCATTAAATACTGAGATAATGCTTTTAGTGACACTGTATCAACATTAATCACTGTGTCACCATGAAACAATGAGATAATACTTGCAGTGACACTGCATCACCATTAAACAGATATTACTTGTAATGACACTTTGTCACCATTATACCCTGCCACCATTAAACACTAAGTCACCAATAAATACCGAGATAATACTTTTAGTGACATTGTATCACCATTAATCTCTGTGTCACCGTTAAACATTGAGATAATACTTGCAAATATGACACTGTGTCACCACTAAAAACACTGAGATAAAACTTGTAGTGACCCCGTGTCACCATTAAACACTGAAATAATACTGTTAGTGACACTGTGGCACCATTAAACACTGAGATAAAACCTGTAGTGGCGCTGTGTCACCATTATACACTGCCACCATTAAACACTAAGTCACCATTAAATACTGAGATAATGCTTTTAGTGACACTGTATCAACATTAATCACTGTGTCACCATGAAACACTGAGATAATACTTGCAGTGACACTGGGTCACCATTAAACACAGATAATACTTGTAATGACACTGCGTCACCATTAAACACAGATATTACTTGTAATGACACTTTGTCACCATTATACCCTGCCACCATTAAACACTAAGTCACCAATAAATACTGAGATGATACTTTTAGTGACACTGTATCAACATTAATCACTGTGTCACCATGAAACACTGAGATAATACTTGCAGTGACACTGGGTCACCATTAAACACTGAAATAAAACTTGTAGTGACACTGAGTCACCATTATACACTGTCACCAGTAAACACTGTGTCACCATTAAACACAGATAATGCTTTTTATGACACTGTGTCACCATTAATCACTGTCTCACCATTAAACACTGAGATAATACTTGCAGTGACACTGGGTCACCATTAAACACAGATAATACTTGTAATGACACTGCGTCACCATTAAACACAGATGACACTGTGTCACCATTAATCACTGCGTCACCATGAAACACTGAGATAATACTTGCAGTGACACTGGGTCACCATTAAACACAGATAATACTTTTTATGTCACTGTGTCACCATTAATCACTGTCTCACCATTAAACACTGAGATAATACTTGCAGTGACACTGTGTCACCATTAAACACAGATAATACTTGTAATGACACTGTGTCACCATTAAACACTGTGTCACCATTAAACGTTGAGATAATACTTGTAATAACAGTGTCACCCTTGTCTTCTCAGTCCTGAGTGAAACATAAATACCACATATACTTCCACGTTTTGAATATGAAGTTTCATTACAATATTATAATATGTTTTGGCACTTATTATATATTGCAGAGGAAAATGAAACCCCTATAATTTGAATTTTTTAAGCTGCCTTTGCCTGCCTTTTGCCTTGTGCAACACCCAAATGTATTTCTCAAACCAGGGTGCATAAACCTGAGACGGTTTGGATGAGAGCATACTTAGCTATCTTGTTCATCAGTAGTAGGTCATTTAGCGGGTCATCTTAAGGTTCTGTTAGCTTTTTTATCTGCTGTGTTCAATGTCATAAAATATTTGAAATTGTATCAATGTTTCTATATACAGCATGTTGTGGGTATCTAACCTGAGTTAACTCTTATGTATATGATATGAAAACGCAGACTACATGTCTCTTATATGAGGCCATAAGTAACTTCCTTAACATTGCCACCTACATGGTATTAGTTTTCTCCGATGTCGTTGATACACAACTCATATCATAAGTTCTAATGATAGGTGATTTATATACATGTTTGGTAGGAACATTTCTCTGGGGGAGCGCCAGTTAGTTGGCAGAAAATGTATGAAAAAAATCACTGGTAATATAATTTACCATAATAAAAACATCCTCTATCACCATATTGTTATGCATCAACCTTGATGTATTTCAAAAATTGTTAATCAGGAAATTGTCACGTAATTTCCTAAATAACAGATAATGACTGGTCTCAGACACGTGACCAACTTGTCATTGATGGTGTAACTTTCCTCCAGGCTCAAGCTTCAATCTGACTTCAGTCTGGATCGTTTGTACATTAATTTACTTGGAACCTGTTATTCAAGTGCCTAGCTAGCAGCTTGTCTTTTCTTGACTGGAGTTGTTGAAATCTAGTATGCTTGTCAAAACCCAAAATTGACCCCCTTAATATAAGGTGTCATAAAATATACTTAATCCACACAACTTTAATGCAACAAACTGCAATGCAACATACCACTTTGAGTCATTTAAGTCATCAACTGGGCTTCCGTCCTCTTTGTAATGGAAATCAATGGTCATACTACAATCTGTGTCATGGGCAGACTCAAAGTTTGTCACTGACCTGGTCGGTATACCCAGGGCACGCAGCACTGAAATATTATAAAAATGTATGTATTCCTATCCAAATATTATAACAGTGTGTTCCTCACCAAAAACTATAATAATAATAAAAATATTTTATTAACGTGTCACACATTTAAGCAATAAACTGCATTAGCGTGCACCATGATAAGTTTGTCTGTGACACATGTGGCAGTTATACCAGTTGGTCTGCCACATCTATGCAGTTTATTGCTTATATTTATATTTCCATAATGAGAATTCGCAAAAAATAATTTATGTCTTTTCCAAATTTCAAATTTCCCGCTTAAACCGTCATGTCAGGCCAATATCTAGAACGGCACAAAGATAACAGCTGACGTCACGCGCTATTTCCCATACACAATTGAAATGACTCCGCAACTTTCTTTAATAATTCATTTGTTTTTAATTTATATATATATCATATTCTCGATTCATAAATAGTAACAAATAACATTTTGTAAGTAACTAATCAAGTGTCTAAAACATTTTCCGATTTTATTGCTACCTATATCCGGCGCACGCACTCAACGGAAGTCTGCAGTAATCAGGGCAGAGTTACATTTGAAGTCCGGCATGTTGTTGATGTTGATCGTGCAACCGGAGAAGGTTGAATTGGTGAAAAATCCAGGCATACAATTGTCTGTTGATCACACAGACACTTGAGACAGGCAGCTGGTGTTCGGGATCAAAGCAGAAGATACCGATAAGTTCGGTAGTGACACTGTTAAGTCGCTCGGAGGTGCAAAGACCAACTTCAGTTATAGTCTCATAAGATGAAGCTGCTATTGGCAGTACTTTAGTAGTAATATAGAAGGGCTTTGCCACACCAAATGTAAATATTTCAATATATGCATGTATCATAAAACACTTTTTACACTTTGTAAGAACTATACATGATCAATGTCTGGCCAGTGTTGACCTATGAGACGACATTATCACAATACTACGGAATATATATCACAATTATTTACAACATAACATCTAAACTATTAGCAAATTCAGATAAACAATATCACGGAGTGTACATATAATTAATATATATATATGCAGTCTGAAGAATCTCCTAGAAGAGATGAAAGTACTAAAGACTCATTGTTAAGAATTTTTCTTTTTATAATACTTCTTCGTCCGTAAGGATCATTTTTCTGATTTATAATATATATATATATATATATAATTATCATTTAAATTATAAAGCGCATTAAATTATTGCTAAAATAACAACAATGCATTCAAGTAGTATCACAGTATACATCAATATTACAGTTAAAAGATTAACATATTCATTAAGTCCATTTACAATATTGATGTGGACGTCCGTCGTTTTCTGACACATAAGAAATCTGATTTAGCTAAAACACACTGATGGGATTCTTTGTCTTTATTACTATAGTTAACAAAAGCTGGTTGGATATCAATAGCATTTTTATACAGTGCACTACGAATATTTGAATAAAATTCACACTCGCATAAAAAATGTATCTCAGATTTTACTGAATTACAATGACAATATTTACATGTCCGCTCATCTAAAGGTGTAACAGGTCTATTGTAGCAGCCCGTCTCAATATGGAGAGGTAGGCTACTATATCTCAATTTGGCTAAAACACCTCTGTGGGCTCTAGGTACAAAACTGGTGACATAACATATTCCGGTATCAGATCTTTCTTAAACAACTGATCAGTCCTTAATTTATATCCGTTTTGATGACGATTGTTTTTCCAAAGCTCAACAAACCAAGATTGCTCGTCAATTTTAACAAGAGGCCCAGAGGCACACACACCTTTTATACAAAAGTGATCCCCTTGGCCCAAGGATGCTCCAGACTAAATAACAATAAAATCCCTTAATCCCTATGGTAGAAGAAGGATTTTTAAGGTTTTATCTCTATTTCCCATATTGGGCTCCGCCCCTCTGCCCCCAGGGGCCACACCCACCGTTTATACAAAATTGAGTCGCTCCAGACCAAATTTAGTTAAAATCTACTTGGCCGTTCAGGACAAGTAGCGTTTTAAAGGAAAAGTTGACAGACGGACGTACGACGGACGCTGCGGTATAGCTTAAGCTCACCATGGTCATTCGGACCAGGTGAGCTAAAAATACATTTTTTAACATGTTGCATTACTGACTTAGTAGCATTCATAGCAGGTTTTATCAATTAAATGTTCTACATTGCATTTCTGTGAAATTTCAAATGCTTTCTTTTCCCATGCTTTTCCGTTTCTTTTAGACCACTGATAACCTTTATACAGAAGTCTGTCATCATTAATTGATTTTAGTTTACACAACAATCGTTATTCTTTGACATGTTGCTTAGCAAAGCAGGACATTCATATCATTTCGCCCCCCTTACCGATGTTAGAAGTATTCCTGGACACACCCAAATATATTCGCTTTGCTCTATTTTGTATATTATTTATTAATCTATGCTCGGACTGACCCTAAATAGCAGAACAGTATAACAGAATCGGTTCTACAAGTGATTCGTACAGTTTTGTGAACACAAGAGTAATTTCAACGGTACAGAAGGAGAAGGATCTTTAATGTTTTCCTCTTTTTCCCTCTAATGGGCCCCACCCTTCTGCCACAAAGAAGGGGGCCCACGTGCACACACCTCAGTTTATACGAAATTGATTCTTTTGTCCCTAAGCATGCTTCAGACTGCATTTGGTTCAAATCCCTTTACTTGTATAGTAGGAGAAAAAAAATCCTCTATCTCCCTTATTGGGCACCGCCCCTCTGACCCGGAGGGGCCACACCCACCATTTATACAAACTTGAGGCTCCTTTGTCCAAAGATGCTCTGGAAAAAATTTAGTCAAAATCCTTCTATCGGTTGAGAAGAAGATTTTTAAAGATTTACCTATTTTCCCCCTATTTGGCCTGCCCCTCTGCCCCAAGGGGGGCCATACCCTCTGTTAATACAAAACTGAGAACCCTTTGGCCAATGACACTCCAGACCAAATTTGGTCAAAATCCCTTTATCGGTACAAAAGGAGAAGGATCTTTTGTATTTTCCTCTATTTCCCCTAATGGGCCCCACCCATCTGCCCCAAAGAAGGGGGCCCACACACCCTTTGGGCCAGGTGAGCTAAAAATATGATTCAGCACATTGTTAACACTCCATACAAATACTTTAATGTTATAATAGAATACAGCTTATTGATGATGCTGATCCAACACTTGACAACAAAATTTGCCCAAAAACTTTAACTTGAGCTCAAGCTTGCCCAAAAACTCTAAAGGGGCTGGTCGGGGGAAAAAATACAAAATAAATGGGTCTAAATACGTTCTCTGGCCTTCCGAAAGTTATACCACGGCAATATGATGGTCGAGTTCTGCTTGCAATGTCCAGTTTTGACCACTGAAATCTCGGGGAAGCCCCGCGTAAATTTAGCGCAGATCTACTTATATATGTCACGTGGTTGTTTCGAAAGTGAGGCAGTGTAGATAATAACAAAAGCACGCCGTCATGTGCCATGTCGGACTCACCTAGCAGACAAGACAGCAATACTATACGTAAATAATTGTTTTCAAAGGCCATGTATGATGCAAGTGTAGTATTCCTACCTATATGTTGTTGTTATATATAACGGTATTGATACCTCGTGCCTGTCATGACTTTTGCATGCATCTTTTTCTTTCGCCGCAATGTTTACATTTGGCCTTGTTGATGATGTGCGTGCGGTAAAATTACATCACTGATCTGGGTCAATTGAGAATTTTAGACTGTCAGGTGACGATTTTGGATTTCTTTAATATAATTATAATTTTTACTCTTAGGGAGTGAATTTCAGCAAAATTTGTATCGGTATATTTCATAAGAAGGTGTTTTAAACATGTGTATGCCATTTTAGCAAATATGACATTTTTTCCCCAACAGTGAGCCCCTTTAACCAAGTCCAATTTACCAGTTTTGGCCACTTAAATATGACAATATATTGAGCACATTGCTTATACACTCCATATAAATGCCTCAACCTTATAAAAGACAACAGTGTATTGAGTGTGATGATCCAACACTGTCTGGAAAAAAATCTTTAACGTACATAATGTAAGGGAAGTGGGACGCCGACGCCGGTTGACTACATTAGCCCCTCTATTTTCCGATCAAGAGAGCTAAAAAGGGGCATAACTCATAAAAAATTGTACAAATTTAATGAGTGAAAGGGATCATTATTACAGGAAAGTGGTATGTGAAGATTGAGTGAAATCACTTAAGCTGTTTTTAAAATGCACTTGACACAATATTCTGGACAGGCGGTAAGACGGGGTGATTCTAATATACCCTCCCCCCAATTTCATTTCAGGGGGCATAAAAACTGGTTCCTAAAAAAGTTTCATCACAAATTTTTATAGACTTAAATTTTGGGAGCTGGGAGCTGACACAGATATATACCCACACCCCAAATTAAAGTCTTTAAGTGTGACCTCTGACCCTTTAACTTTGACCAAATTCTAATCCGGTGTAGAACTTTGTAGATTTATGTTACAAAAGTACCAACAGACTGACAGTGATTACACAATATACTTAATAAAACAAGAGGCCCAGAGGGCCGGTATCGCTCACCTGGATATCAAAGTAATCATGGCAATAATTTTTTGGAAAAAAATCTTTAACGTACATAATGTAAGGGAAGTGGGACGCCGACGCCGGTTGACTACATTAGCCCCTCTATTTTCCTATCAAGAGAGCTAAAAAGGGGCATAACTCATAAAAAAATTGTACAAATTTAATGATGAGTGAAAGGGATCATTATTACAGGAAAGTGGTATGTGAAGATTGAGTAAAATCACTTAGGCTGTTTTTAAAATGCACTTGACACAATATTCTGGACAGGTAGTAAGACGGGGTGATTCTAATATACCCTCCCCCCAATTTCATTTCAGGGGGCATAAAAACTGGTTCCTAAAAAAGTTTCATCACAAATTTTTATAGACTTAAATTTTGGGAGCTGGGAGCTGACACAGATATATACCCACACCCCAAATTAAAGTCTTTAAGTGTGACCTCTGACCCTTTAACTTTGACCAAATTCTAATCCGGTGTAGAACTTTGTAGATTTATGTTACAAAAGTACCAACAGACTGACAGTGATTACACAATATACTTAATAAAACAAGAGGCCCAGAGGGCCGGTATTGCTCACCTGGATATCAAAGTAATCATGGCAATAATTTCTCCAAATAAGATCCAAAGAAATGGGCCAGACCCCAAGGACAATCCTTGTATCCTATCTGTATTAGATTTGTCATGCCCAGAAATTTTATGTATGGTTATTGGGTGGGAATCTCAACTGTTTCCAAGGTGTGACTCAGCAACTAGGTCCCTAGGATTGTGGCCAGACCCCAGGATCAATTATAATATCATTGACTGCATTCGCCTCTTTATGCCCAGCATTTGTATATACAGTTTTGGGGTGGGGATCTCAACTGTTTCAAAGTTATGACCCAGAGATTAAGTCTGTGAGGGTAGGACAGACCCCGGGGTCAGTTCTAATATTATGACTGCATTCGTCTCTTTATGCCCAACAATTATATATATAGTTTTGGGGTGGGGATCTCAACCGTTTCAAAGTTATGACCCAGAGACTATGTCTCAAAGGGTGGGGCCAGACCCCTGGACAATCCTGGAAACATAAGTGCATTCTTCTCTTTATTCTCAGCAATTGTATATACAGTTATAGGGTGGGGATCTCAACCATTTCTAAGCAATAAGCTATTTTGGCCCCACCTTTTAGCCAAGGGGGTCAGCCCCACTACTTGTACAATTTGAATCCCTGGCTCCCATGAATGATTCTGACCAAATATGATTGATATCCAGTGTATAGTTCTACAGAAGAAGTCATTATAGCAATTTAGCCAAATTGCCCCCTTTTGGCCCCACCCCTCAGCCCCATGGGGAGTCAGCCCGACCATTTGTACAATATTGAATCCCAATTACCTTGGGATACTTCCAGTCAAATATGGTTGATGTCTATCTTTTAGTTGTAGAGAAGAAGTCGCATAAAGCAATATAGCCAAATAACCTTTCGGCCCCACCCCTCAGGCCCCTTAGGGGTCAGCCCCACCATTTGTACAATTTTGAATCCTGATTACCAAGGGATTCTTCCAGTCAGATATGGTTTATGTCCATTTTAGTTGTAGAGAAGAAGTCGCTTAAAGCAATATAGCAAAATAACTCTTTTTGGCCCCACCCCTCAGCCCCCTTGGGGGTCAGCCCCACCATTTGTACAATTTTAAATCCTCACTACCTAGGGATGCTTCAAATTCCAGTAAAATATGGTTGATATCCATTTTTAAGTTTCAGATGAGAAGTCCCATAAAGCAATATAGCCAAATAAACTTTTGGCCCCGCCCCTCAGCCCCCTTGGGAGTCAGCCCCACCATTTGTGCAATTTTAAATCCGCACTACCTAGGGATGCTTCCAGTAAAATATGGTTGACATCCATTATTAAGTTTTAGAGGAGAAGTCGCTTAAAGCAATATTGCCAAATTGACCACTTTTGGCCCCGCCCCTCAGCCCCCTAGGGGGTCTGCCCCACCATTTGTACAATTTGGAATCCCAATTACCAAGGGATACTTTCAGTCAAATATGGTTAATGTCTATCTTTTAGTTGTAGAGAAGAAGTCCCATAAAGCAATATAGCCAAATAAACTTTTGGCCCCGCCCTTCAGCCCCCTTGGGAGTCAGCCCAACCATTTGTACAATTTTAAATCCTCACTACCTAGGGATGCTTCAAATTCCAGTAAAATATGGTTGATATCCATTTTTAAGTTTCAGATGAGAAGTCGCTTAAAGCAATATAGCAAAATAACTCTTTTTGGCCCCACCCCTCAGCCTCCTTGGGGTTCATCCCAACCATTTGTACAATTTTGAATCCCCACTAACTAGGGATGCTTCCACTTCCTAGGGATGCTTCCAGTAAAATATGGTTGATATCCATTGCACAGTTCTACAGAAGAAGTTGTTTATAGCAATATAGCCAAATTGTCCCCTTTTGGCCCCACCCACCAGCACCCTGGGGGGTGAGCCCAACCATTTGTACAATTTTTAATCCCTGCCTCCCATGAATGCTTCTGACCAAATATGATTGATATCCATTGCACACTTCTACAGAAGAAGTTGTTTATAGCAATATAGCCAAATTGTCCCCTTTTGACCCCACCCCTCAGCCCCCTGGGGGGTCAGACCCACCATTTGTATAGTTTTGAATCCCAACCACCTAGGGATGCTTTCAGTCAAATTTAGTTAAAATTCCAATCAGTGGTTAAGAAGAAAAAGTTGTTTGAAGAAATTGTTGACGTACGGACGACAGACGCCACGGTATGGTATAATAATTAACTGGGGAGAGGGGTATAATTTATACAGGTTCATTTTTCACAAAGCAAGAGGCCCAATGGGCCTGAATCGCTCACCTGGTTTTAATCTCACACTTGTTATCTTAAAAGTGGACTAAAATACAGCTACAGGCAGAATATCAGTGTTTGATTCATAATAACCTATTAAAAGATTTAAACATATGACGCCTGTGACCTTGAATGTCGAACAAGGACATAAGGTTGAACAGAGTTTATAGTCTTCCACCCCAGCATGCTTTTGGCAAAATTGCCCTGGACCTTTTGGTTATACAGAAAAAGTCATTTAAAGATTTAAAGATATAATGACCACTGTGACCTTGAATATGGATGAAGGTCATTCATTTGAACAAACTTGATATTCCTTTATCCCAGTATGTTAATGGCCAAATATCATCACCCTTGGCCTTTTGACTATCGATAAGAAGTCGTTTTAAAGGTTTTAAACATATTTGACCACTGTGACCTTGAATATATGTCAAGGTAATTCATTTGAACAACCTTGGCAGCCCTTTATCCCAGCATGCTACTGGCCAAATATCATCACCCTTGGCCTCTTGGTTATTCAGAAGAAGATGTTTAAAGTAAAAAGTTGACGATGGACCGACGGACGACGGACGGACGAGGGATGCTGCACCATGGCATAAGATCACTTGGCCCTTTGGGCCAGGTGAGCTAAAAATTCAGTGTTTCTGATTAAGCTACAATTCAGTTTAAATCACATTGATCTTATGCAACAGGTGACACATGACAATCAGAGCAATAATAGATAAGTTTGAGATAATGACCAGTGGTCACTCACATGTGGTTACCAAACAGGAGAACACCCAACACTGGCCATACTGGACCGATCTGCCAGTTTCCATGAATTCCTTCAGTATATTTACACTTCCTCTCCACAGCCAAGGGGCTGTGCAATCCTTGGGATACTCTGATGTCCACCGGCCCTCCAATACACCCTCCTCATCACAACTGTTAGCCTGTTGAACAAATAGCCTCATATTTAGATCTTTAAATAGCTAAATGAGATCTAAATCTTTAGATTCTACATTGTATAGGTTCAGGGTTAGATGAGCCAGAACCTTGAATAGATACAGGCCAGGAAGTTCCTTACAAGTATGCATAACTGTATAAAAATCACCAAGCAGAAGCTACATCTTGGATTTTGGAACATGGGTAAAATGTCATTACACACAAAGTGAAACCCCTCTTACATGTACTAAAACTGCCATTCCTCGAATACCCTGTGTTCCCCGAGCTCTGATGATCTATCCCCAATCACTCAAAAACTTAGTATTTAACCTACATGTATCCATTCATTGAACAAGTAGCCGTGCCTGTGGAACACAAATACTGTGAGTTATCAGTACTGTAATAACATTACCCTGTATGCACACTGCATTATCATGTTGTGTGCATACTTATTATTTTCCGACATCGTTTGAAATCAATGTTTTAGCAGAAGTGTTAATTCACTGGGTGTGTAAAACCATATTTCGGCATTGGCAATATTAAGCTGAAATCACATAGCTGATTCTTGACCATCTTTAAAGATACATGTGTTCAAACTTGTAGACATTGTAATTGTTAGTTACCTTGAAAATGAGTGAAAGTCATTAATGAGAACAAGCCGCATAATTTGTTTAATTTGACACCTGTGACTTTGAATATAGAACAAGGTCATTCATTTGAACAAACTTGGTAGCCCTTCATCCTAGGATGTTACTGGCAAAATATCATCATCCTAAGCCTCCTGGTTATTCAGAAGTAGTTGTTAAAATATTTTAACATATGTGACCCCTGTGACCTTGAAAATGCGCGAAGGTCATTGCCAGCACGCTACTGTCCAAATATCAACCCTGCAGGCCTCTTGGTTATTCAGAAGAAGTTGGTAAAAGTAAAAAGTTAATGCCAGACAGATGGACGACGGACATGGCACCACGGCATAAGCTCACTTGGCCCTTCTGGCCAGGTGAGCTACATGTAATCATACAAAATCTTGTCCTGTTCATTTTTCTTTGTGAGTGTCTTTGACCTTCACTATTGCACATCTACATATCACAGTGTTTCACTATGTGAAACTTAAACAATTTTAGACAGCTGGATTCTGAGATAATCTAGGGGAAAAAGTGTTGATGGACAGTCAGACACTAATTACTATAGGGCACTCACATGATTGTTGATGGACAGTCAGACAATGATTTCTATAGGGCACTCACATCCTTGTTGATGGACAGTCAGACACTAATTACTATACGGCACTCACATCATTGTTGATGGACAGCCAGACACTAATTACTATAGGGCATTCACATCATTGTTGATGGACCGTCAGACGCTAATTACTATAGGGCGCTCACATCATTGTTGATGGGCAGACGGACACTAATTACTATAAGGCACTCACATCATTGTTGATGGACAGTCAGACCCTAATTACTACAGGGCACTCACATG